AAGGGGTAAGGGGAGACTTAAATGAGATAGGCAATTTAACCCTAAGGCAGCAATGCAGGCTCTGGGTTCTACTCTAGTCACTCTACACCGATGGGTTAAAGAACGATTACCTGTGAGTCTGACCACAGATACTCACTCCTTTGAGCCAGGAGATGCTGTATGGGTAAAAGAGTGGAATGTCCAACAACTCAAACCCCTTTGGAGGGGCCCGTTTACTGTCATTTTGTCCACCCCCACTGCAGTAAAAGTAGCCGAGGTAGGTCCCTGGATTCACCACAGCAGAGTGAAGCCGGCATCCGGGGACTGGGAATGCATTCCTGATCCGTCCACACAGTGTAAGCTGACCATACGGAAGAAGCGAGCTGCCACGGCGGAGACTCCAACGGAAGACTACAGCCCTGCTTTAGTCACTCCGGAAGCTGACTAATCTACGCACGGTGGAAGCTTGAGGAATCGCCGGTCCGAAGAAATAGACTGTCTTTATTTATTACATCTGCCTCTTACTGTAATGCACTGTCACCCCTTGTCTGTCACTATTATTGCAATTTTTGCTTTACTTCTTGCTATTGGATTGGCAGAGGTTACCCCAGCCATCTGGAAATGTGGCGAAAGGTTTCTGTTAGCACTCACTTTTCTCTTGTGGGTAGGATGTTTTGTTGGTATTGGTTGTTTTTAATTTGGACTCCGCTTGTAAACCTGAATCTCTCATCATGTGATCCGTGCATTCGCATAACCAGGTCAGGCCAAGGAATCACCTGGACCCTATTGTATCATACCCATTTCTCATGCCAGGGAAAGGTCCAAGGGACATGCATACATAACAAGACCACCTATTCCGTCTGCCATTGGGGAAGTCAATACACTTGCTTTGACCCACAGTACTCCCCAAATGAAGATTGGTTAGAAGTCTGATCTTACCAGGAAGAAGGGGCCTTCATTAGCCGGACACGAATTACAAACCCCAAACGTCCGGTGTCAGTACTGTTTGATGTGTGTGCGGTTATTGGTCTAGGCCCAGAAGCATCCGTTATATGGAAAAAATGGGCACTTGTCATGGAGGGTCCAAAAACTCTTGATATACCAGGTGGAGGCTTAGATTGGGAGTGAAAATATCGCCTCAATGACAAATACATGTGTGAGGAAAATGGTTTATATGCCTACACACCTGAGTTTCTATGCCCTAGTTGGAGCTGTGTTTCATGGGCCACTTGAAAAAAAAAGGATGCAACAGCTCTCCTTCAAAAGGGGGCTGCTAGATCAGATTGTCAGTCAAAAGCCTGTAACCCTGTAAATTTCACTATCATTAATTTAGAAGACTACAAATGGCAATGGGGCATTCGAATTGGTATTCGAATTTATGGAAGAGGCAAAGACCCAGGGACTGTACTATATTTTAAGAGGATCACTGCCACCCATCCAGCCACGTCCCACCAAATTTTTCACTCCTTCTATGAGGAAATAAGAAGTAGTCCCCCTCCCATTTCAGTCACAGGAAGGAATTTGTTTCTGGCCCTGGCAGAGACTATAGCCCAGACTCTGAAGATCTCTTCATGCTATGTATGTGGGGGGACCAACATGGGGGATCAATGGCCACGGGAGGCCAGAGAATTAGATCCCCTCGAGGCTTATGATGGAACGAATTACCCCAGTTCTGCAGCCAGGGTTTGGCTCCTGAAAACCTCAATCATTGGGAAGAACTGTCTTGCCCGATGGGGGAAAAAGTTCACCATCCCTGTCGGAAACTTAACATGCCTGGGCCAAAGGTTTTATAATTCAACCACCTGGGAAACCCAATGGTGGGGGTCCCCAGGTCACCATGAGCCAAATCCTCACCCCTTGTTTAACTTCTCTCATCTCTGGGAGGCCTGGGACAACATAGACGCTGCCATTGAATGGCGGGCCCCAGGGGGACTATATTGGATATATGGGATAACAGCCTATACAGTACTCCCTTCAGGCTGGTCAGAGTCATGTGTGCTGGGAACTATTCACCCATCCTTCTTCCTACTCCCACTTGCAGAAGGAGAACTTCTGGGAGTTCAAATATATGGAGATAGGAAAGTTCAAAGAAAGCAGTGTGCCTTGCAAATTGGCAACTGGAAGGAAAATGAATGGCCTTCCGAAGGAATAATTCATTATTACGGCCCTGCTACGTGGGCCGAGGATGGGTCTTGGGGCTACCGCACCCCCATTTGTATGCTAAACCGCATAATTAGGCTACAAGCAGTTGTAGAAATTATAACCAATGAAACTGCTAGGGCTCTTAATTTACTTCCTAAGCAGCAAACCAAAATGCGCAATGCAATCTACCAAAATCGCATGGCCTTAGATTACCTGCTTGCTTCTGAGGGTGATGTTTGTGGAAAATTCAACCTAAGCAACTGCTGCCTACAAATAGATGATAAGGGAAAAGTCATAGAGGAGATCACAGATCGAATGAGAAAAGTTGCTCATGTCCCAGTCCAAACCTGGAATGGTTGGAACCCCAGAGAGTTATTTGGAGGATGGTTTTCATCTTTCGGGGGATTCAAACCCTCATAGGTATTGTCCTCCTAATTCTGGGAGGATGTTTGATCATACCCTGCTTGGCTCCCTTGATTATACGATCAGTTTCCAGTCTCATTGAAACTATAGTTGAGAGAAAAACGGCTGCTCATTTAATGATGTTATGTTATCCTCTAAGCCAGGATGATGCTCTCTGACCCAAAATAGAGGTGTCCGAGCATCAAAGGGGGGAATGTGGTAGGAATCCCTCCCTAAGGAGAAAGAAAAAATTGAAGAAGAGAGAAGAGAAGACTTCAAGGTCACCTAGATATGGGTCTGGCTGCCTACATCCCCCATGTTCATGTAAACTGAAACAACTTAATCAGACTGCATGTTTATGTGTATTACCATATATGGGAGACAAAGAAATAGAAAATGCATAAAAAAACCTATGCCATATGATGTGGGCCGCTCAGTTCTTTTGGGTACGAACCCAACTGAGCGGTGCCGGCATAAATAAAGTTGCTTCCTAGAAAGAAAAGTCTCGGTGTCACGACTCTCTGAGCGAGAATCCTGCAACAATTAAACTTGAATATTGTGTGCAGGCCTCCTGGCAGAGCATCCCCTTTGCAGGCATGCTTTGCCCAGGCAGGGAGCCCCGTGTGCAGGCACATCCCCACGTCCCTAACCACGCTTTCTTGTGGTCACTGTCGGGCTCCCACAGCAGGTCTTGTCTCCACTGTGTCCGCTGGCCTCCCTGAGGCGCTCCTTGGTGGTTGTGGGGAGAAGAATGGCGTCGTCCCAGTCCCTTCTCAACCAAGCCTTGCAAATCGCTTCCTCAGTCTGATCTCCCTGTGCTGAGGATGTAGCCAAGGTGGGCTGAGTTCTATGCCCCACACCCCACCGGTTTCCAGGTCCCAGTCCATTCCACGGGCTTTGTTATACTGCCCTGAACAGTCCTGCTGGTTGCTGCTTCCGTGTTGCCTGGGGGTTGAGTGGGGAGTGGGGGAAGTGTCGCAGCCTCAGATCCACAGATCCGCAGGGGCCAACCAGGGATACAACCCGAGTGCCTTTCGGGAACGTAGCAACTTCAGGTCCGTAGAGTCCGTGTGGCTGCAGTGCTCCGCTGCCACTTCATCTGGTGCCGGGACTGCCTCTGTAGGAGTTGCTGCTGGTTTACTGGGCCGCCGACGCCATGGATGGTGCCGGGCGCAGGGCAGTTCAGTTTTTCCTGGTGCCTTCTGGGACCAGGGCACCTAGTTTAAAGTCAGCACCCCACCCAGAGCACTCTCTTTCCAAGCCGAGGTTTTTGTCGTCTCCAGGGACGGTTCTATGAGCAAACTCAGCTTTTCTTTCCTTTCTCCTGGACTCGCAGGAGCTCACCACCACTCGCCAGTTTATCACTCACCGCAGATGCACGCAAGCCGGGTTCCCTCCCCTCCTTCCATGTCTCTGGGTCCCATCCAGCTTTTATCTTCCCCAGTTCACACTTGTACTCTGTCTCTTTCTCTTCCCAAACTCCTGTGGCTCAGTGTCCTATGACTTCAGGCCTTCTCTTTTGAGTAATGGGTACAGGCGAAATGTACGGAGCTCCTTACTTCTCAGCCATCTTGCCTCCCTCCCATTTTATTTTTTTTTCCTTATTTATTCCTGAGAGAGAGAGAGACAGCATGAGCAGGGGGGTTCAGAGAGAGAAGGAGATACAAAATCTGAAGCAGGCTCCAGGCTCTGAGCTGGCTCTCAGCACAGAGCCTGACACGGGGCTCAAACTCACGAATCGTGAGATCATGACCTGAGCTGAAGTCGGACGCTCAACCAACTGAGCCACCCAGGCATCCCTAATTTTGTACATTTTAAATGTTATATAAATAAATCCAGTGTCATTTGATAAGACAAAATATGCTTTTGGGTAATTATTTCATGAATAAGTCAATTAAAATATATTGTAATTTTGCCACATTTTTGCAACGTATCTTTATCCTTTTATCAGAACTAATTAGTATGAAAGGACTGATTGTGGCATAAACATTGCCCAAAAGCTTCTGGAAATCTTGGGTGATGGGGTCATATACCCATAACAGGGTTACAGGTGATGAGATGATGAAGTCTATCCAGTACACGACCACAAAGAAACTCACCAACAACAGGACAGTCTGAGTGGCCTTTCTCTCAGGAGAGACTGTTGAGGAGAGGCGGGTGCTGTGAAGGTACTGGCACTGCCTCTGATGCCTGGACAAGAGAATCACCGTGTATGCACTTGAGAGCAGCATGGTTCCTAGGAAGTAGACATCCCTGCATAATGTCAAAGTGAAAAGTAGTGCCCTGATGATGAAATTTATGTGAGAAAGTGAGCAGTATTTACTGATATGCAGTAGATTGATCTGGGTCACATTAGAAGAAGCAACAGTGTACAAGATGCAGTGAATACTGAGAGACAAGCTGAGAAACCATAAGATGATGAAGGAATGGAAGATGTACTTAGTGCATTTCTGTTTAAATCTCCCCAAACAGGAGGTGCTGGGGCTGATGGTGATGGTCTGGAGGATGCTCAGGAGGCAGGTGGTGGAGATGGAAAGACACCTTGTCACTCTACTCACGTAGAATAAAACGTTGCATTTGAAATCATTCTGAAAGTTTGGTGATTCAAACAGATCTGAAGACAACAGTAACAGTGCAGTGAAGAGTTTCATCATGTGGATAACTGCCACGTGACAGATGATCAGCTTGGTTGGCTTAGGCCTGTGGTCCAGGAGTGGGAAGACGTGAAAGAGAAGGAGGAAGGTATTGGCTGATATTCCAATGCCTACTTGCAAAAATTCACATATTTTAAAAGTAACATGCATGGGAAGTGCAATCATCATAGTGGAAAAGTAGAAATGTATTTTGTATATCTAAAAAAATATTTCTCATAACACTCATGTTATTTATTAAGTGGTCAAATCATCACCAACATTACCATTTTTATTTCACCCAGTTAATCAGTAAACCATTTGTATAAAGTCTTAGAAATACACCTTTTTTTTTTTTTACAAATAGTTTATTGTCAAATTAGTTTCTACATAACACTCAGTGCTCATCCCCAAAGTGCCCTCCTCCATGCCCATCCCCCCCTCCCCCCCACATCCATCAGTCCTCAGTTTTTGTCAGCATTCAAGAGTCTCTCATGGTTTGCCTCTCTCCCTTTCCCCCACCATTTCCGCCCTTCTTCTCCCGCTTGTTCCTCCGTCAAGTTCCTCCTAATCCTCCTATACGTGCAAACATATGATATTTGTCCTTCTCTGCCTGACTTATTTCGCTCAGCATAACACCCTCAAGGTCCATCCATGTTGCTACACATGGCCAGATTTCATTGTTTCTCATTGCCATGTAGTATTCCATGGTATAGATAAACCACATCTTCTTGATCCATTCATCTGTTGATGGACACTTAGGCTCTTTCCATGTTTTAGCTATTGTGGAGAGTGCTGCTATGAACATTGGGGTACATGTGCTCCTATGCCTCAGCATTTCTGTATCCCTTGGGTAAATTCCTAGCAGTGCTATTGCTGGGTCATAAGGGAGTTCTATTGTTAGTTTCCTGAGGAACCTCCACACTGTTTTCCAGAGGGGCTGTACCAGTTTACATTCCCACCAACAGTGTAGGACGGTGCCCGTTTCTCCACATCCTCGCCAGCATCTAGAGTTCTCTGATTTGCTCATTTTATCCACTCTGACTGGCGTGAGGTGGTATCTCAGGGTGGTTTTGATTTGTATTTCCCTGATGAGGAGGGATGCTGAGCAAGAAATACACCTTTAACATGATTTCTATATTAAATTGTGTATGTATATTTTCTGTCTGTCTGTCTAAATATCTATCTATCATCTATCTATCTATCTATCTATCTATCTATCTATCTATCTATCATCTATCTATCTACCTCTATCTTTCTATTTATCTATCTATGCAGATCACACTCAGCATACTCATAATCATGCCAGTATAATGTATCCGTTTTCCATAATTTTATGGTACATGCATTTCTCATTCTTTTCCTTTGCCTTCACATTCCCCTTCCCCTTCTTCTTCTTCCTTCTCCCTCTCCTTCTCCTCCTTTTTCTTTGCTTTACTTTTCTGCATTTCACTTTACTCTTCTGTGTTACCCGGTTTCATGTTCAGAAACATTAATAGTAACGGTCACATGAAGGATTCATAGCAGCTTGCATAGTTGAACAGAAGTAAATTTTATGTTAAAAGGGAAAAATCACTAAAAAAAACAATTGAGAGGAAAATTTCCCGATGAGTCTTCCAACACATAATGGGACAACTTTTTTCTTCCTCTTTTTTTCACACTTAGGGAACATTGTGATTAATTGGGCTTATCCTGATAATTCAGCACAATCACTCCACCTTAAAATCAAATAATTATTTTTTTATAATTTTTTAAATGTTTTTTATTTATTTGTGTGTGTGTGAGAGAGAGAGAGACAGCTTGAGCAGGGGAGGGTCAGAGAAAGAGGGAGATACAGAATCTGAAGCAGGCTCCAGGATCTGAGCTAGCTGTCAGTACAGGGCTCAATGCGGGGCTTGAACCCACGAACCGCGAGATCATGACCTGAGCTGAAGTAGGACGCTTAACTGACTGAGCCACCCAGGCGCCCCAAAATCAAATAATTATTAATCTTCCATCTACACCCTTAATTCCCATTGTTATATAATCTAAAATAATTATATTGAGGATATGAATATTTGGATGTCAACATCCTAGGAGAAAAGAACATAATTTTGGCCATAAATCTATTGAAAATGTACTCAACATAAACATGACTTACTCCACTTTATTTTCAATCAAAGGCATCTCTTCCATAATTTCTCTTTATATCAGTAAGGAATTGCTAAAAGGTCGCTCTCAATTCCCCACTTTAGGACACCCACAAAATTGTATCAAAATGTTCATATGGTGATTTTTCTCGTGGGACTTTAATACAAAGATATCCACCCATGCTTTAAAAGTGTTTATGTCTCCAATAGAAAATATCTCCTCAGGTATGATCAGAAAATTTCCAATATGACAGCACTTTAGAAAATGTCATTGGATAATTTCAGATTTATTCTACCATGTTATTTGTCCTGTATGCAGGCATAATTATTTTATCCAATTAATTTAATACAAGGCTTAGTAAAAATTAGCTTTGTTGTTTAGTATTGTGTTTATTATCCTGAAGGGAAAGTGTGTACTTTTTTATGTGAAGAAATTTTGACAGCTTGTGTTGTGGCTCAAACTCAAAATGTGATTGCTAAAGTAAAACATTTCTCTATAATCGCCTGATATATGTGTATTTTATTATATTATTATTGTTTAATGTTGTAGGGGCTTTTTTATTAAAACACAGTGGAAGAAAAAAAAAAACTACACAGGCAAACCGGAACACTTTGGCATTCTCTTCTGCTTTCATTCAGTACCAACTTCACATAGGACTTTGACAATTAAAAGATAGTAATTTGAATTATCCAGACAATAACTTGTAAGTTTTCCTATTGGTCTCTCAATTGATTTAGCTAATTTCTTGAGGACATTTCTGTTGGTCCCCATGTCACAGTCTCCAAAAGCCTTTTGTAGCTCTGATAGAGTCACCAGAGTTTAAAAATTAAATACAGTATGATTTAAAAAAATAAAGACCAGACTTGATTTCAAAATATGTGAAGTAATTAGACAACATTCAGAGAGAATGTTTGGCTTGAATATGTCTATTTCTCTGCTTAAATAGCCTTTTCTCCTGCATTTTTCCAGGCATAGTATAGCAGGCTGAATAATGGCCCCCCCCAAATATAAGATTCTAATCCTTGGAAACTCTAAATGTTACTTTTAAGGGAAAAATTATTCTGGGTTATCTGCATGGGACCAAAATGCAACCTCCAGTGCCCTTATTAGAAAAATAATAAAATAAAAGCAGAGGATGATCTGACACAGAAGAGAAAGCCATGTGACCGTAGAGGCAGATTAGAGGGATGTGGCCCATAAACCAATGAATGCCAGCTGCCAAAAGAAGCTGGAAGAGACAAGGAATGCATTCTACCCAGGAGCTTCCAAAGGGAGTGTAGCTCCGTTGATACCTTGATATCATCCCAGTGAAACTGATTTTGGATTTCTGCTGCCCAGAACCATGAAAGAATAAATTTCTCTTTTGTTTCTAGTTACTAAGTTTGTCATAATTTGTTAAAGAAGCTACAGGAAACTGACAATGCTCAATGAAAATTAGTTTGCTTTCCCATCTTTGGACAAGATGCTTTGGACAAATGTTTTCCCATTCTTGTCTGTATCCATATTGCCTCATTGGGATTTTCATTCCATTTTCATCATTGGAAACTAGATATCATATCCATTGAGACATAACTGTAGAATAACTTTTTCATCCAGTTGCCATTTTACTCAATAAATTTATTTGGTTAAAGGTATATCTCCACCAATTCATTAACAATGAACTATCTACTAGCCATCATAGTAGGGAATATAGAGGATGGCACGATGGACCAAGTTCCTACCCTGAAAGAATTTATAATCTGTTTTAGTAGTTACACTTGCATAAGACAATTTGTACTAAATAGGTGAAACATTTTCAGAAAATCAAAGGAGGGAAAGAATTATTCCTACTAGAGAATCAAGGAAAGATTTTATGGAAGAATTCACCTTTGATCTGTGTCTTCAAGACAGCTATACTTTATACAGATGCAGATACGGTACAGGAAAGAACAGTAAAGAATGGAGGAATTACGAGCAAGCTAAAGATATATGAGTATTTTACAGAGGAGACATTGTATATTTTTTTAAATAGCTGTTGGGGCGCCTGGGTGGCTTAGTCGGTTAAGCGTCCGACTTTCACTCAGGTCATGATCTCGCGGTTCGTGGGTTCGAGCCCCGCGTCGGGCTCTGTGCTGACTGCCAGCTCAGAGCCTGGAGCCTGTTTCAGTCTGTGACTCCCTGTCTCTCTGACCCTCCCCTGCTCATGCTGTCTCTCTCTCTCTCTCCTAGAAATAAATAAAACATTAAAAAAAAAATAAATAGCTGTAACTACTTTTCAAAATGTTTAATCTATCGTGTGACAGATTTCTCCAGTTTCCAGGAACATACATCTTTACCCACACACTTTAAGGTTTTTGTGTCATGTTGGACCTTTAGAGAAGTACTAAAATAATATTGGCTTAAAGGCACAATGCTATCTAAAATTTAAGAAATACAGACCAGTACCAATGAAACAATTGGGTGTTGGCCACTAGTATATGTGTAATTATTTAATTTTTTAAAAAGTAGTTTATTGTCAAGTTAGTTTCCATATAACACCCAGTGCTCATCCCCACAAGTGCCCTCCTCCATGCCCATCACCCCTCCCCCTCCCCCCATACCCATCAGTCCTCAGTTTGTTCTCAGCATGCAAGAGTCTCTCATGGTTTGCCTCCTTCCCTCTCCCCCACTATTTTCCTCCCTTCTTCTCCCCCACGGTCCTCCTTTGTATGTAAATCATTTAAAAATATATAAGGCTTATGTCACAAGCCATATCCCAAAGATAATAAAATATATTCAATAAAACAAAATAAATAAAAGTTATTATATTTAACACCCTATGAGATATATGATGGGCCACAACTAATTCATGCCTTCTGTCTCAATAAACAACACATACTGAAAAAGGATTTCTGCTGTATTGACAAATAATGCCTTTTTCCAATGACACTCTTGAATACATTGGTACTGACCCTGTAATGGAGAGCACCATGTTTCCCATAGATTAGAGTAGAGAAATAAAGTGCAGGATATGCAGTTAAATTTGAATTTCAGGCAAATAATGAATAATTATGTTATGTCCCAACTATGACAACACATCTGAC